TGGTGATCCAGCCATAAAAGTTTCTGTTCCGTTACTTCCTGTTATATGGTGACAACACTCTGTCTCTGCCTTCCAATTGTGCTCTTGTGTTGCCACGCCATCACATGGGCTTTAGACAGAGAAATGGTGGCAATTTCAAAACACATTAGGCAGTCATGGTCCACTGTTGGGAACCCACTCTGAGAAATGTCATGCAGCCGTCGCTGAAGTGCATGTAAATGTGAACAGGCTGTATGAAATCAGCAGCACTGAGAAGCAACAAAGGATGAAAAAAGAAGAGTGATATCTAGTGATTATTTTGTATATACACAGAGTGGCTTATTAAATAAAGCAGTGCAAGGCACACTGATTTTTGTCAGGCTGATATGCATTTAACAAACCATCGCTATTCTTTTCCCTGCATCTAGACTCCATGTGCATGTGCAATGTTTTCAGATCTGCAGCTTTGTATGCTTAAAAACGACCTACAACAAAACAGACTGAGCATATAATGAAAAACTGCTTAAGCAAATGCTGCCTTTAGTGCATTTGGTGATGGTGCAATGTACGTCACCAAATTAGGAGTTAGAATACTGGAACATAATGGCTGTGTGCCATATACTGGCTGAGAAACAGCAAACACTGACTGACAAGTTGCTGCGCTAGACACAATCTTCTTTTCTTGCAACTAAAAAAAGAGCTTAGGAAAATTGGAAAATTGAACAGTTTTTGGAATTTTGTTTTAACCACTTGTCTGGCACCAACCCACTAATAGTGCCAGCAGATAAATAAAGCCCACGTATGTCCACATTCAGCCTACAAGAGAGAAGAATGTCTCAAAAGCAAATCCTCATTTAAAAATAAATAAATTATATATAAATCTTTTCAATTTCATTCCAACAGGATCTGGACAAAACCCCCATCACAGTATCGTATAACCGTCTGCTAAGGCCGGAGTTTTTCTGCTAAAATCATTGAAAAGACACTTCTTAAAAGACATAAAACTTTTAAAGAGATTAGGAACAAAGGCCTGAAACAAAATGGGCATTCCAAGGCAAAAATATTCCAGTCAAACAGACCGACGTAAAACAATTTCAAGAATCCTTTTTTGAGAATGCAGATCATTTGTATTCAAATATACCACTGTGAATACGTCATTGCAAGCCATTAACATGTGACTTTTAAAAAGCCTTTTTTTATAAGCACAGATAAATAGGTTCTAAATGCACGCCGGCTTGCCTCCAATACATGGGAAAGGGACCATTACCTGAACAAAGCAGTGTCAGCTAGTTATGAATCGCACCAATATCCAATCTACAAAAATCCTTATATACAACACCAGATATTTTACAAATTGCATGTGCATAGATATTGACACTGCCCTAAAATGTGCTGCCTCGGTCACGCCCCTCCAGTTTTATTGTTGCCAATTAAAAAGAATACATACAAGTGAAAAATAAAAGCTTTAAATTAGAAGAGTATTTTAAGCCAGAGTACTAAATTATCACCCATTATGTGTCCCCAATTTATTTATTTATACCAACTTGCCATGTTCTTGTGTCTTTACTTTTCAGTGCGTGACTGTCAACATTGATACTTTTCGTGTTATTAAAAGCACCAACACCTTCTGTGCTGAGTCAGCCTTTTTGAGGAAACGTTAAGGAATAGGCTTAGGGTCAGGGGTTTCAAGTCCATCAGTGTTCTCTCTGCAGAGGTGTGTCCCCCCTGCCCCCCCCATCAGATCTATAACTCTGCAATCAGAAAAGCTCATGCTTCCTGTTAATTGAAGAGCTCTATCTGTGATTCAGCAAAGGCTTTGTCCAACCTTTGCAGAGAGACCACTGCTTCCACACAAAAGGGAAGTCCTATAGCATGCTGATGGCAAAACATTACCGTTATCATTTGCTTAAAAAACACCTGGAATATAGTTAGTTGATCTGAAAGTTCAGTTAGGTTTTAAGTGTTGGGTATAGGTTAAGTTTTAATTTTAGGAAGCAAGTTAAAGGGTTATTAAACCCTTCAAACTTTAAAAAAAAAAAACCTTTTGAAACCGGTTTTAACTTACCTGGGTCTTCGGCGCTCGCTCCCGTACGAACATCTGAAGAGCCTCGTGCGGCCGCAAAGGATCCTGTGGCGGGCGCATGCGCACTTCAGATGTTCGGCCGGGAGAGGAGGAGAGACACAAGGTTAGTCTATTTAGCAGCGTGCACCCGCACAGACTCCGTGGGACATGAGAGAAGAGGAGGACAGAGGAGTCAGTGCTGGATCGGAAACCCGCACCAGCGCTGGAGGGACAGCTGAAAAGAACAGTAAAGAAGATGATGATCGAACAAAAAGACGTATCATTTAAGGTAAGTCCTGACACTAACATTGGGTGGGGGAATAGCCTTTAATGTCACTTTAAGTAGAAAGCCATCAAAATGTTTTTTAAAGTTACTGATAAAAAGGGGAAGGCTAAGAACCTTCGTCAGATTTTGTTATATGTGGACCCCAATGGGAAGATTCCCCTTCACATTCTACCCCAAAGATTTGGTAACAGGCACAGGAAGTGAGGTTAGCGTTTTTTAACAGGAGCGCAAAAAAAGAAAGGAAACAAAATGTAGTTTATTAGGGTGGGAAAAGACGGTTCTAGAGCCAAAATTAACCTATAAAAAGCAATAATTTAATGCCTAAGGATTAGTCCCCAACAACCTTGGCCAACCATTCTTAGGGGGAAGGGGGTGATTGGACAACTTGGAAAATATTGCCTGATTATTATTGTTCCCCCTTAGATGAGCTGGCCTTGAACTAGTAAAGAATAGTCACCTTTATGCTATGGATTAGAACGTGTCCTCATATTTAACAGTCAGTCCACAGCAACACTTGCTAGTTCATGTTTCGGTGGAAGATTTGTATACGCAAATGTGAATTTGCTATTCTGCATCTCTGGTGTCAGCTGGAGGCTCCTCAGTGGTTTAACTTGAGAAAAGACTAATAGGGCTTCAAGGACCTTTGGTTCAGGTGAATTTATCATTATGCTATAGCTGGAGTGTATGCAAACACTTGGCACATGCTCTACAACATGTGATTTTCAACTTTTCGTAGAAAAGGATACCTCCCCTGATGGTTAGAAAGGCCAGATAATTTAATTACCCTGGCCATATGTCATAACCAGAATCCGCATTTGAAAAGTATATATAAACCCAGAAACATCTGGTACAATGCATTTGGAAAACAGCTAGTTCACTCTGTACAAGGGATCAGAGGTTTGGTGTAGGACAGAGCAGATTTCAATAAGTCAACAGTGTACAAAAGGTACCTCTGTGCGAGTTAGATTGTGAGCCTAAAGTGCAAGTCCAAGTTGAACACAAAGCTCAGCCCCCATCTCCCCTCCACAACTATTCAAAATATTTTTTTTTATTTTAGTATACTGTAAACAGAGCAAACCTCTCTTTGGTCACAAGACACTAGGAGGCCCATTCTGTCTCCCTACCATGGTAGGCTATCCTTGCTCCTGTACTGAATGGTGCTCATGTAATGACCTGTAAGCGCTGTTTGGTACAGATGCACAAAGAGCCCAGGGTGATTTGATGACGTACATCCAGGGCGTGAGTCCTTAATGCCTGGACACACAGGAAGTTTGTTGAATGAAGCTAGGCTTCATTTAACCCAGAAGATCAGCAGCAGGAAGGAGCAGTAAGTCTGTATGAGTTCACCCCATATTGGTACTATTTGTCTATTCACATACAATATGTACATGTATGTGCCAGGTTACTGTAGGAACTAGCCAGCCAGTGATCTTTTGTCTCTAGTCAGCCTGCTCAAACATGCATTGCAATATATGTGAACCAAGAAGCCCTGTTTTTAATGCAAAGTTTCTTAGAAGTATGTAAGGGTGAATACCACTGTGCATCTGTTACCCAACTCAGATAGTTCTACAAAAAAAAGACTGTTTATACAGAAAAGTTATAATTAACAAAATGAAACCACATGTACAAACTTCATATCCCCAAGGATTAGCGTCATCATTCTGAATCTACCCTTTCCAGGAACAGGCTCACATTTGCTAGCCTCGTATATAATCTCTACGTTGTATAAATTCTGCCTGAGGTTTAAAGTTAGCGTTCGTTACACTGAGGTTAACGGTTAAGCTTAGGGGTTAGGTTCAGGGATTACTTTTAGGTTAAGGGTTAAGTTTAGGAGTTATGCTGAGCTCAATGGTCAGAAAGTCAGTATTACTTCTTCAGAGGATACTTGTTTTTTTTTGGGGTGATGTATTGCACCAAAATTAATGCGAGAGTTATTTGCGTCAAAAACATCAATGTTTAGATACGGACAAAATAACTTACTGTAATACATATAAAACTTTTACCTAAAGAGGACCTTGCAGCCCATTCCAGGACTCTGATTGCCCAGCTTTCCCAGGTACACCACCTGCTCCTCCCAGAAGCATCAAAACCTGGGGCAAAGTGTTTTTGTTTTTTTTTATATGTAAAAACGTTATTTTAAAGGAAATTTTGTTGTGGTAGGGGAGGAACGG